CAATAAAAATAAAGGTATAAAGGTATAAGGTATTAAAACCTAGTATCTGACAAGTTTTAAGATTATATTTTTTTCTTTATTTATTAGTATATACTTTTAATTATTTAGAAGCATAAAAAAATGTCTTCAAAAATAAAATTTAAAAGTACTGTTTGGAAATATTTTGAAGTTTAAAAGAAAGATAATCATTTTTGTATTTGCCTACTATGCAAAGCATTACTTTCTAGAGGTGGGAATTGTCCTAAAACATTCACCATTAATGCAATTAGACGTCATTTAAAAAACAAGCACTTTGCAGAATATAAAATAGCTGAATTTTCCCAGCACAGAGCAGTACTCATAGTTATGCATTTTCCAGAAAGTCACACAGGAAAAAACATAAGTGAGTATTTACATAAAGGTTTAGTAAGTTTTGAAATTCCACACTCAAAGACTCATATTGTTTTACAAGATAATGCGGCCAATATGGCAGCTGGTGTAAAAGACAGTGGTTTTAGATCAACGCCATGTTTTATACATACAATACAGTTATGTATACATGACTCAATTCTGTCGCAAAAATCTGTTAAGGATATTTTAGCTTGTTGCAGACGTCTGGCAACTCATTTTCACCATTCCCCAACAACAGCAGCAAAGTTAGAAGCAATTCAGAAACAACTTGGTACAAATAAGCACAGGTTAATCCAAGATATTACTACAAGATGGAACAGTTCTTATGATATGATTGAAGGAATGCTTGATCAAAAAAGTTTCTTTGGCAACTTATACAGCTGATCATCCTACCCAATCAACACTAAATTCATTTCAATGGGACTTATTAGATAAAGTGTTGCATATTTTAGAAACATTTAAAACTTTAACCATTAATTTCAGTAAACGTGAATCATATTTTCAGATGTTATTCCTTCAATTATGTCTCTGAAAGAATTTTTCAATCAAGCATTAGTATGTGAGGCTTTTTTAACAATAAATACTTTAGTTGAACATTTAAGTGGATCAGTAGACAAAAGATTGGGTCCATATTTACATGATAAATATTTATGTCTTTCCACTTTTTGTGACCCTAGATATAAATTGACATATCAAAAGGAAGACAAGGATAAAATAAAAAATTTGATAAATGAACAGATGCAAGAAATGCAAAAAAGTAATTTAGAACTTGAATCCTATGATTCTGATTTTGACGAACCATCAGTACATAACACAAATGAATTAATTGCAAAACCAGCCTATCCAAAGTTCAATGAATGTTTTCAGAAAGTTTCTAAACTGATAACTATAGATGAATGTGATTCCAATTTTGTAAATACTGAAAATAGCAAAAGGTTAAAAAGATCAAATTCTAATATACAAATGATAAACAAGGAGATTGAAGAGTATTTAAAGCTACCTCTTGTCAAGGAAAAAGAAAGTCCTGTCTTGTGGTGGAAAAATTGTGGAAACTCTTTCAAAAATTTAAAGAAAATTACCCAAAAGTTTTTTTTAGCACCACCATCTTCTGTTGAAAGTGAAAGACTTTTTAGTACAGGTCACATCATTTGCAAACCGAATAGAAACAGACTATCACCGGATAGTAACGAAAAATTAATATTTATTCATTATAACTTGAGGACAACAAATGATAATTGATTTTCACTCATGTTTTTAATGTTTTATTTTTTTCAATAATCGATTATTTTGTTAGTTGAAAGTTTAAAATTGTTGATTTGTCTAGTTTTAATACTATTGCATGTTTAGTTATATAAAAATAACATAATAGTATATGTTATAATGTTATATAGTAATAACTACATAATAAATTGGAGCATTTTTTGATTACTACAATAACATTTTTCCCTAAGTTTATTCCTTTCAAATAATTTTTTCAGTTCAACTAGTTGAGTAGCCAAATTACGAGCAACTTTCTTTATAAAGATTTTTTTTTTAACACAGCAGCAATAGGCGCCACTTAAAACGGACGTTTCTATCTGTTATTTTAAGTTTATTTTATATTACGTTTTTGCGATTTTTCTAAAATAAAAAATTTGCTTCTTGCATGAATTTTACAACTTAAGTTTAATTATTATTTTACTGTATATAAAAGGATAAAATTAACTAAAATATTGATTAATTGAATGGATTTTTCATTTTACACTTATACTAGTACTATTTTTTCTAAATGTTGTAAACTAGTTTTACGTAATACATTCGGTTTTAAGTAATACATGCGATCAAATTCAATTTATTCTAAATTCAAAAAACTTGATGTAAATCTAACGTACTCATGTGTTCTATTGAAAAACATATTCTTACCTACTATGCGTTGTAGATAAGAATCGGGTTTTCAATAAAAAGCCATATCTATTGGTACTGTAGCTATTTAGGCTGAGTTATGATGATTTGATGATATTTAGCATTTTTAGCAAATGTTCGGCCGAACATTTGTCAAGGTTCGGCCAAACCGAACGTTCGGCAAAACAGCCGAACGTTCGGTTTTGCCGAACGTTCGGTGCATCCTTACCGTTTTCCCCTTCTGACGACATAAAGTTTGAAATATAATACTATAAATTAAAATAAAAATAAACATACAAAATTACAATAGATGAGTTTTTAAACTTAAAAAGTAAAACATGTTAAATAATTCGCTAAATTTAAACATGTAATAATTTTTGTTATCAACAACCAACAAATAATTGCAAATTTTGACTAGTTCAATATTTATCTTGCTAAAAAGTGTAAAAATGTTATAATGAGAAAGAAATAAGTTAATATCATCAGCAAACATAACTGTCATTAGGTTAGAAGCTTTTGGTTGATCATTAATATATATTAGAAATAGGAGAAGTCCTAATATGGATCCTTGAGGAATTCGACATGAAATATTCAACAAACTAGATGATATGTTATCATCTGCATAAACAAATTGTTAAGTAACTTTTTAGCCAAATCGATATATTTCCAGTAATTCCGTACCACTCATACAACATTCATAAAAAAAGAATTACGTGATCAATAGTATCTAAAGCTTTTGTCAAGTCAATGAAAACACCTAAAGTAAATTCCCTAAAGTTAAATTCCTTAGAAGCCAGGAAAACAGTCACAAAAGTTCAAAATTTCACAAAGAATCTACAGCCATTTCTGTCTCAGAATTTGTTTACTTATGGAGCTCTAAATATTTACCTGTGGAGCTGGTAAGACGAACTTTGCAATCATTGTACCTTCTTTCCAATCATTGTAGAACCTTTAGTGCAATGGGCAGCATTAATGCTGCTTCACACGACGTATGAGTTTCCTCCGTTGATCTCTAGTTCCTCAGTGTCTACGAATATAATTTGGTGCTTTTGAATACTGCTTTTGTGCTTGAGATCTCTTTAAAATAATTGCATCTTGATATTTTTTACTCAAAACAACTGCCCAAAAAGTAGGGTTAGCATTGATTATTACCAAGTTAAGTTGAACCTTGCATTCTCCACTGTTAGATAAAGTTTCTTTTTCTGACTTAAATGATTCACTTTGAAATTCATTAAGCTCAGCTTGAGGGAAATTGTTTAAGCCCCTACTGATCCATAGTCCTTCGAATAACATATTGAGTGCAGCAAATTACCCATATTGAGTGCAGCCAAGATGCAAAAACTTAAATATTTGATAACTGGCCGGGTCATGGTAGAGTCAAGGCCGCTTATTTGTCTGAAAAATGCAATGCTATGATTCTCTCTTTCGCCTCAACAGTCAAATACTACTTTAAAAAAACAGCGCTTTTATTGTAAAATCGACCACAACTGTCTCGTTCGCTTCAACTTCTTCAAAAACCGTATAGTTGAAGAAGTTGAAGCGAACCCATGGAATGTACTACCTATTGAAGTTTTCATTGCAATCTGTGTTAACTCCTACAAAGCAAAATTTAATGAGTTACAATTATTATTACCACTGCTCCTTATAATCGAACATGTGCTAGCATTGCTAAATGTTCATGGGCTTACGGAACACGCCCGCTTCTGTCTAATTCTACAACAGCTAAATCCTGTTTTTTTCGTAAAAATTAGTTTATTAATAATTATAAGAATAGAATTTAAAACTTAAGTTATTTTTTTCATGTGCAATTTTATTCCAAATACTAAAAGTTTCAACCTCAAATGAAAAAACTAAGCAGATTTCAGATTATCAGTCATTAAAATGTTTTCTATTTATTCTATAAAAAAAAACATATTGTCCGGCGCCCCTTCAAGCTTGGCGCCCGGGTCAATTTGCCCCCTTTGCCCCTCCCTCTCATAGGCCCTGCTCCTAACATATCCTAAATATCTGTCAACAACATTTGCGAAAGTTGTAAAACCAAGTTTATAAATTCTTTAAAATGGCCGCTTAAATGTCAAATAAGTCCTTAATTTTTTTTTGTCTTAATTTTTTTCTATTTAAAAAAAAAGTTTAACTGATATCAAATAAAATTGAATTGCAACTGATGTTTAATAGCAACAATTTAAGGAACTTTATTTCAAAGGAACCTATTACCTGCTATCTGCTAAATTTGGCAATAAGCAGGGTATATTTTAAATAACTTATAAACAACGAAAAAAATTAAAAACAATATTGTTGTCAAAATATCTTTAAGAAAACTAGTAACAAAGTACAAACAGTAACAAACTGAAAATTTTTAACTTTTTGTGAATTTTATCGACTTAAGTTATAACGAAGTTTTTGTAAAAAATAAACTAAAATTACTTCACTAGGATTAGCAACAATCTTTATGATGGACAGGTTACTTTTGTATTAAAATAAAATTTAAATTTTGTAATAAATATATTTTTTTAAAATTGGTTGCATTTTATGGCTATAGGTAAACGTTAAATAAATTGATAAAATTAAATGTTTTAGGCCCTGTACTCTAAGAATTATCATGTAAACTGAGTTGTGTGTACATGCAACATGTTTTCCCTACTAATTTTAAATATTTTATATATAGTTTGTATTTTTGTTTCTGTAGAAAATAATTCAATTTTTTGAAAATGTTATGTTTGATTTTATAGAATTGTTCTCAAAATTCTCAACAAAACGAAAAATGGTTTAAAAAAAGAAAATACACGACTATTGCATTCGCAATTCAAAGTTTGATTTTAGGCATGGAGTACAGTGTAATTCTTTCAACTCTATGGTTGTATATAAAAGAACTAGTAGATACCGAATCACCAAAATTATTTTACACATTAGTATCTTTTATATATATAGTGTCATATACCATAAGTACTCCAATTATTGGGATTATAATTGATCGCACTCGTCAGGTTAAAGTTTGGTTTTTCATTTGCAACTCCTTTTTAGTTGTCGGAAATTTATTATACAGCCTTCAATTTTCTCCTTGGTTTTTAGTCGCTGGCAGATTTATATCTGGTTGCTGCGGTTTATATTCTGTTATGATTGCCGAGATCATTAGAAGTTATCCATCTAGTAAAACAAGTTTTCAGTTATCAATCCAATCCCTAGCTTTTTACCTTGGATTTATAATAGGACCTTGTATTAACTTTTTGTTTTTAAAAATTGACTTTTATATTGGATGTTGGCATTTAAAAAATGTCAATTTTATTGGAATATTTATGAGCTTAGTTTGTTTAATCATGTGTTTAATTTCTTTTTTAATGGTTTACGATTTATCAAAAGAATTTGACTTAAAAGAAGAAGAAAAAAAAACTGAAAGTTTCGAAGTTACTCATAGCAAACTATTCGGAGAGTCTCCCGCACCTTTAATAAGAAGTGAATCGATCTCCAATATAAACGAAAAATCTAATGAAAGCTTATCACAATTTAATTTTATAAAATCAAAAAAGCTTCGTAATGAAGCAGCTTGTTCATTATCTAACTTAAGTATTTTTAAGATTTTGAAACTGCTGTTTACATCCTTTGATACTTCGTTGTTGTTGTTTAGCACATTTATTTCACTGCTTTTCCTCGTCACTTTCGAAATGTGGTTGCCGTTGTTTGTTATAGAGACTTTACAATTGTCTCATTTAGAATTAAATACTTGCATTTTTGGTTCAGGAATAAGTTCCGTTTTTATTTTATTATTTTATATTTGCAAACCTTTGTCAGAAAAGAATATGTTTATTGTGGTTTTGATTGGACTATTTGGTCTTTGCATAATTAACGTGAGTTACATTGTTTTGAAATACTTTAATTCCAAACCATTAGAACGAATTCTTGGTATCGCGTACATGATTAATTTTGCTGTAGCTTGTATAATACCAGAGGTTTTTATTACAAACACATTAGCTAGATTTGTTAATTCAAAAAACCAAGCTTTTGTGGATGGCATTCGAAATTCAATGTTTTCGGCAGGAACACTAACAGCATTTTCAAGTGCTGCGTTTACATTTGAATACTTAAGTTTGTTTTCATCTACATTTATTGTATTAACATTATTATTAATGGTTTTGTTGATGGCGAGAAGAAAGCATTTACTTAATCCAATACCAATATTTTAGCATTGGTTAGTTTTTCACGAATTTTTTTGTTTTTTTAAAATTTTTAAGAAATATAACAAAATACTTTTGTTTTTAAAATTTTTTTGAATTAAACAGAAATTTTAATTAAATAACTTTTTATTTTTATCAAGAATCTTTTAGAAATATACAAAGCTTTTATTTTTAAGTATTTTTAAGAATATAGAACAATATAAATATATCGAAAAAATTATTTAAAGAATTCATTACTTTTATTAAGAGAAATAATTTTATCATTGAAACTATTAAAGTATTTTCTAATTACTCGGTATATTTAGCAGCCAAACTGATTGATTGATGCGTATCCAGTAAATGGTTGCTGTAAATGTAAATGGTATCCAGTAAATGGTTGCTGCTTGAAACCTGTTTAATGAAGTTTATTAAATTTTTTCAATTTGGATAAATTCAATATAATATTTCATAAAACTTTTGTTCTATTCAAGTAAAAGTTCACTTATTTTTTCTTAGGTTTTTGGTTATTCGTTGTAAATATTTAAAACAATAATCTTTGATCTAAATGCTCATGATTACAAAAAGATGTCTTTGGTTAGTTTGTTAATATTATTTGCTGCGCTTGATCTCCTGTTTATCTTCTTTTCAAATTCTTTGCAAACAGATCTTTTGAGGTTTCTTTTATAATTAAGATTTCTAATTAACACTAATAGTTTAGTGGTTATTAGCTGGATTTTCTAGATACTTTTCCAACCAGATTTAAAATGTGTTGACTAAGCTGTATCAGTAAACTCTAATTTAAAATAAAAGTAAAAAATGGTAAAAACTAGAAAAATAATAATATATCAAACAAGAATTTGCATTTTTAGTAGCATTAATTACACAATTCTTACATGTTATCTTTAGGATAACGTGAAAATAACATCTAAGAGTTTTTCTTGATTTTCATCTTAAGTGGGGTGTCAAACGGTGTTAGCGTAAAGAAGTGTGTAAAATATAATTACAAATCGAAAACTGTTGATTTATCAATCTTTCTGAGTTCATTTTCCAAAATATAGTTTCCGATAATTTTATGGCACTCATTGAATTCATCAAAAATGAAATCTAAGTTGTTTCTAATTTAAATATTTAATTAATTTAAATATTTTTTGACTACTTTAAACAAACTTAATAAACGTGTTAGAAAAAAAAGAACATTGCGTAAAATTTTATTGGATTCTGACTTATAAAACTTAAAAATTAAAAACTGGAAAATATACATTCAGCAATACAACTTAGACATCCTTTGTGTTGTGGCGCAAAATGTGAGTTTTGCAATAAGTACAGACATAATTGTTATTTTCCAGCAATAACTTTTGGTAAAGTTACGATCTAAAATAGTTTCAGTAACCAACAACAACAACATTATATCATGGAATAACATTAAGAAAGGACTAACGACTGTGTCCTGTAACCAATAATAAAAACACTAATCTCTCCTAGAGAATTATTTATGCTAAATGATACTTTTAATATAATTTGTAGCTGTGAAAATTGTTTTTTTTTTAAGTAGCTAAGATAAAAGGTCAATTTTTTAGCAAAAAGTTCCGTCCACTTCGAGAAGTTTTATTAAATATTTTGAAGAACATTCAATACTAAAATCTCTTAACTATAGTTTAAATAGTAATTAATAGAACTTTATTACTTAATTTAAAAGTGTAAATTTTATTGGTTAACATTTTAAAATCATTAGGTCTAATTTTTGTCAAGTAAAGTGAAACAATTAATAGATGCAGATGAAAAAAGAAACAATTATAATTAGTAAGTTTAAAAAATATTAGAAATAAATTTTAATAGTTATCTCTAACTAAAAAATCCTTTTATAAATAACATTAATATACAAATAAAAAACATCTAAAGGATTAAAAAAAACGTATAAAGCATATTTAAACCCATCTGGGATTTAAAGAGACTTATACATTTGTAAGAAAATTTATGTTTGTAAACAAATCAGCAACGGTTGAACTTTTTACCGTACATTTAAGTCCCATGATTTTCTCCAAAGAGCCATAAAAAAATCTTAATTCGGTCGGATATTCCACGATAAAAACATAAAAAGCCTAAAATAAAAATTCCAATGCCTCCATAAAACAGCTGCAACAAGGCAGTGTTATAACTGTGTTGTCAACCTTTATATAATATCCATCAGATATGCGCAACAGCATTAGCTGTTTAACCCCCCGCAATCCTCTAGTGTCTTTAGTGCACAGTCAAATGTGTCATCCTGCATAATGTATAAACATTTTTTTAAATTATCAACTTTACTATCAGATAGAGTAGCAATAATAATAATAAAAGAATGATAAAAATATATGAAAAGATAAATATTAAAACTTCTACAAAAATATTAGTTCAAAAATTTCAACAAAAAAAAAAAACGATACCTTGAAGTCAAAGAAAAGATTTTGCATAACCGCATTCGGTAGCAAACGAGTCCTTTTAACTGATTTTTGTGGTGGGGTAGGGAGAAGCCAAACAAGACATTCAACCGCAAGTTCATTTTTCTTGTCTAACAACATAAAAGAAAAATTTGGACTGATATTAAACAGATTTATAACTTGTATTTAAACAGACATATACTTTATATATACAGATATATATATTGTAATTAAACAGATATATAACCTAATATGTATACTTAAACAGATATATAACTTATAAGATATATAACAGATATATTAAACAGATATATAACTTAATATGTAAATTTGTATACTTAAACAGTTATATAACTTTTGCAAATAAATAAAAATCACAAAAAGTTTTTTATAATTATTATTCAGTTAGAATAATACATTACATTAAATAGTGTTAAAAATAGTAAAAACTAAGTGTTTAGTTGCGCACTTTATAATTTAATAACAATAAACTACAATTTTTAATTGGACTGTTAAAAGTTCATAATTCACCTTCATCTAACTCGTTTGTTAAGAAAAACATTAGAGTATTCAATGAGGACTTTAATTTAGCATACTCCAGAATTTTAAGTTTGTATTTTTGCCGCTCAACATACAATCGTGTTTCTATAAAATTGCAACATTGGAATTCTTTAAGAATCTTATATAAATATAAATATATATATATATATTTATATTTAGACTGAAGAAGCCTTTAAGTCACAAAAAAAATTCAAATTTTTACAAAATTTACAGCACTGTAAATTCCATTAAAAATAGTATTGGGAGCAAACTATATATATTTTGTTTTAATAAATAAATGTAAATATACTGATTCTGGCATGGTTGTATAAATGTAATAAATGTAATAAATGTAAATATACTGATTCTGGCATAAATGTAAATATACTGATTCTGGCAGTAACCGCGGGTACTGGTTTACAATTTCTGTGATTGATGGGAACAATGTGTTGATCCATGATTGCCGATGATTTCTTGTAATCTCCATTAGCACAGCACTTTCAACATCATCGCTAGTTGTGAGATCTATTCTACTAGTAGCAAGACTACTGATAAAAGGTGGGGGATAAAAAAACTTATTGAAATTTATCAAAAAAAGGGCTAACAATTATAATAATTGCTTATCATCATCATGATCATTATCATCATTTATTAAAAGAAGGACATTTTAGATTTAATATTTACCTATTTGATGGTGAATGTTTCCACAATGTAGTTATATCTTTACAATCTGAACGCCGGCTTAGAACAAAGTATTCCAACTTTACACTAAATGATTTTTTATAAAAGAAGTATCCCTAAAGATAACAAAAAAATGTTAAGACTCAGAGTCTGTTTCATCATGTAAGATAGAAAAACAGTCAATAATTGACTTTGATAAGTCCTGCTTCTCAGTAACATTTGGCCTATCTTTTCTGAAATAAAGAAATATAAAAATTATTTTAACTAATTGAAATCCTATCAAATTTTTTATTTTATTTTTATTTACTAAGCACAATTGTTCGTCAGTTAACGCCCATAAACGTGTGTTAGAAATAACATTTCTGCTTTTTCAAACAGCTTTCCTGACTTTAACCTTTGTGTCAATCATTGATCACAAATAGGTCCATGCTGCTGCCTCTGCTCTGATATAATATTATCAACTCGCAGATTCTGATAAAATTAATGGAAATATGCAACTAACGTAATTTCATATTAATTCATTTTAGCATTTACATACTATACAAAATATACAGTTTAACATTATTACTTTTATTAATATTATGATTATTTTTTATTGTGACATGTCTCTTTTATTTACTCCATGTATGCCATTTCAGCAATCATTTATTAATTGTTTGAAAACTAACCTTGAAACTGATTACACTAGTAGTGGTGCAGCTACTTATTCTGGATGAAACAATAACTGACTCAGCAATACTCAATAAACACTGTGGTGTAACATATTCATTACCAGTTGGAACATTAACAACCGGTTGAGCCCTAATCCATTCCTACAGTAACCTTCTTTCTGCCATCCTAAACCCTAATTTGACAAGGTCCTCTTCTGTGGCTAATACAAATGACCTTACTATAAAACTAGATTCTAAAATAAAACAATATAATAAATAAGTAGTTCTTTATATGTGAATTGATGTGAAAGAAAAAGTTTCAGTCATATATTAGAGTATATCGTTATTTTAAGTCTGTGTATTTAAAGAGAAAGTGAATATCTTTTAGGATACACATACTAAAATACATATTTAAAGAGAGAAAATCTTATCAAATAAAGCATGTTGAATATCGTCAGGGACAACATATAATTCCAATACAATGGCGAGCGTGTTGATTAGACTCATGGTTTAAAAATATATCAACTAAACATTATCAAATCAATCAAATTACGATATTTCCAAATTTAGCAAATAACACTATATATACAACCATTAGGAAAATTTACAAACAATTATAAACTGATGACCTGTATTAAACAAAAATAATAATAACTTCTTTGTACGAGGTGGTCTAGGACTTAGGTAGGTGAATACCTGTTGTACAGTTGTTAAAAAATATTTTTTTAAACTGTAAAACTTTGTAGAAACCTTTTCTCTACATTTTGTAAAAACATTTTTTCTACAAAATTTTTATATTTGCTCTAAAGAAAATATTTTAGATTAAATTTTAAAAATTATGTTATAAAAAAAGTGGAAAATCTGATACTCTGGTTGGCAAAGAAATATTACTTCATAAGAATGAAGGTGAATAGTAAAATTGTTTGTTTTCACAATTTCTAAAACAAAATGCCACTTCTCTCCTTTGTACACATCAACTTGATTGTTATTTGCGCTTGAAATGAAGCATACAATTTTTCCAAAGTTTGGCAAGCGAGTCTCTAAATCTATATTAATTGCAATAAAATGTCTTAGCTTGAATTTAGCACTTCCAACATGCAATGTTTTTGCAATAGCAATTTCTTCACATGGCTTAAAACACTGTATATTTTGCATAGCGTTATAAAAAGGAAGCGAATAAGTAGACTCAATACTTTAGCACTGTGTAGACTCAAAGTAGACTCAATATTTTAGCACTGTTATAATTTTGCGAATATGTTTGTTTGAGAGTTGTGACTCCAAAGCCTATTGCTGATGTCTATATGCTAGAGTGTGACAAATATTGGTAAAGTTGCATACAATATGGGCTTACCTTTTAAAAAATGAATTTGTATGTTCGTATAGCATACAACTCACGCCAATAAGTTGACCAGACTTAATTATAAATTTGGACAAATGCACAAGAATATGATGCTTTGAACGTGACCTTATATAATCACTGCAATATAACCTGCTAAACATAGCTAAATGATCATTAGTAACATGCTTCATATAAACAACCATTTCATGTGTAAAACATAGTGCAAAAATCAAATCAATTAAATGAGACAAGTGAAGCAGAAATTTCCAGTTTTTATTCTTTAGAGATATAATTTTTCCTACAGCCATCGGTAAATACTTGAGCAGAGCCAACCATTGTACTGCTTTCACAGAGGGTTTAAGTACATGCCCTGGTTCTTGTATTTTAAAAATTTCTGCAGGTTTATGAGTTTTTTTCAATAGTTACTTTTCCCCATAATAAAGAAATAGCTTTTTTTATATCTGATAGAGTTAGGCACTTATCTAATTTGTAAAAACCATGAAGAATACACCCTAACTCTACAAGCACAACTCCTTCCAAGAGAGTATGCATAATATCTAACACCAATTATCTGTCACATGATAACCTTTTATTTTATTGAGTGGGCATTCAGTGTTTACACCTCTGTAGTGATTTTTTGATTGATTAGAATTGTTCTAATTGCTTGTCCTACTTGCTACTAAACTAATCAGATCTGTTTTGTACGCATCTGAAACAGATCATCTTCAAATTTAATTTGAATGTCTTCTTTTGTTGCATAGCAAATTGTACAAAAATGACTGTCAAAAAAAAGACTCAATAAATCTTAACAAGGCATTAAGAGCCAAGTTATCACAAGTAACTTGACAAAGACTTGCATAAATTGTACAGGTACCTAAAACTGGAAATACTCCTTGTAATCCAATAGTGCTTAACTCTTGCATCTCATCACGATATTTGCTTAAAATTGGCCCATGATCATAACCTGCAATATCATGAGTGTAACCCATGGCTAACAAGTGCACATTGCCAAAACAAAAGTTAAATGTGTGTGGAAGATTTTTTATAGTGTAATAAAAAACTCCAATGCTATGAACAAAGCCTTGACTTTTCAATGGATTAGTTACACCTAACCCATCATAAAACAATCGGATGATGAGGGAAATTTTGGAGACATCACTAGAGAGGTAATGCTCTTTGAAACAACTTCCATCTAAAAAATTGGTCAAGACACCAGGTCTACACTTTTTCTCCAAAAACGCTTTTACATAAGCCTCTTTCTATAAGAAATTAAATATAGCTTTTTGATAGAAACATATTGGAACATATAGCAGGTACCTTCAGGTTGAACCATAAGAGGATGCCCTGTAAACTAAGAATCAATGCGATAACGTGTTGATAAAAAATCAAGAGGATTACTGCATAGTTCTAATTTGGGTTGTCTCTCTTGTGAAATTCGGTCAATAATTGCACGATCAAATAAAAAATAACGGCTAATAATAAACTTTAAATTCTTCTTTAAAATAAGATGATAGTGATCCAGCCATATTATTGTACGATTGCACTATTGTAGGTATGATACCATAAGGTATACTGCTATTTGCACAAAGTTGTGTTACAAGTGATGCTCCTTCATTTTTAACGTCCTGCAAAAAATCCAAACTATTTACAGACGAAACTACATCTAGATTAGGAGATGAATCTTTTAATTGGTTAATACTAGTGGCATAATTGTCACATAGAAACAAATTTTCTGGATTTTCTTCTATAAATGCAGCTGCTTCACTGACTCTCTCTGTGTTTATTAGGTGGTGAGTATTTAAATGTCTAATAAAATTAAACAAAACTGAAAACAAACTTATGCACTTGACGACAACAAATTGGTATAGATAATTGTCGGTTGTCTTTATGTCGCTGCAAATAAACCCTTAACTCATAAATACTATTATAACCTTTATTGCAAAGATAACATAAAAACATTCTTAAAATATGCTAATTTCTTAAAAATAATTATAATTTTTCCAACTCTATAAATGCTCGTGATGGCGGCTTGATTTATATTACGCGTTTCATGTGCATTATTTTACTCTACACTAATGTGCGATCTTTTAATTTTTATAGAATTTTCACTCAAATCAATTTTTCTGAAATAATAACTCCACAAAATTGTGCAAATTACGGCCTCTACACTTAGTGTGGAATTTTATGTCCACACTTTCCACGAGAGTGTATTGAGGTATCTTCTTCAGAAATATTTTTAATTTTTCGCAGAGGCATATTGGCTATATTGGCTCTCGACCTTTTATTTTTTAATGTCAAAAGATTAATTTTTTTAAATCTATTTTCATATAGTAAACCTTTTAAACTGTGGATACAAGCTGCTCTTTGTTGGACTTGTTTAATCATATTGATATGTTTTTGTAAATGTCGGTTCCATAATGGTGATCAATATTTAATATGAGGTCTGACTAATGAAGTAAATAGTAAACTTATATTTCTTATATCAAAATATTCAAAAGAGTGTTTTATTAGGCCGAATTTTTGATAAGTCTTAATGACTGTATAGTTAATGTGGTAATTCTAGTTAAGGTCATATGATACATATCTGCCAAGATCTTTTTCTAAAGTTGTTTTTGTTAGTTTAGTGGCTTACATTTTATTTTTGGAATTGTTAAGCATCAGGTATTTATTTTTAGGATTATTTTTTCCGATGCATAACCTTGCACTTGTCATAATTAAATACTATTAACTAGTTTTTTGTCCATTATACAATTTTATTTAGATCTTCTTGTAAATTTTCTGTACTGCTGTTATGATCTAGTATAGATATTAATTTTGTATCATCTGCATACAGTTTACATTCATTTTTTATATTTAACATCATTTATCTATAAAATAAATAATAAATGTCCAAGTACTGATACCTAAGGAACACCACTTATATTATTTGTCCATTTTGAAATATTTTCTCCAAGTACAACTCGTTGTAACCAATTTTTTAGAAAAGCTCTGCACCAGTTCAACAGATCAACAATAATACCATAACCAGCTAGTTTTATGCACAATCTTTCATGTAGCGCAGTATCAAAAGCTTTAGCAAAATCTAGAAATATAATTTCAACTAGAATATTATTGTCAAACGCTTCACTGACAATATCTAATGTTTCTAGTAAATTTGTACAACAATTTTTTTTATTCACAGTACCATGTTGGTGCACTAAGATTAAATCACTATTGTTAAGATGTTTCATTATTTCATCTCTGACAACACTTTCCATAACTTTGCATATAATGAATGTTAATGAAATTGGTCTGTAGTTAGCTGATTCAAGTATGTCATTTTTCTTATGCAATGGTGTTATATTTGCATGTAACCATAAGTTTGGTAGAGTTGAACTTTCGAATGATTGATTAAACATTAACTCTAATGGTTTACATAAACTTTGTGAGAATTCCTTCAACACTCTTGGATGTGCTTTAGCAATGTCTGTAATTTTATTTGTGTTTAATTTGTTTTTAATGAGTTTTGCTTCAATTATTAATTTCTCCAATTTTAGATATGGACAACATAGAAAGATTTTTTTTTTTAAATAATGGAATATTTTTAATTATGAATATTGAACTGAAAAATCTGTTTAATGTATTGCATATTGTTTTACCATTTGTTGTAACATTGCGATTTATATCTCTTATGGCTCTAATAGTGTTTTTTATTTTGGTTTTACTGTTTATATAAGAGTATATACATTTAGTATTTGATTTTGATTGTTTTACTAAATTATGTTCATACTTCATAATTGTTTTTTTAATATCTTTTTTTAATATCTTATTAAGGTTGTTGTAATTTATAACATCATCTACATTTTTAAAACCTGCAGCTTTGATTTTGTACCATAAGTTCCTGTTTTGGTTGTTTTGTTGAAATTGAGGGATGAACATTTTGCAACCTTTTTCATAAATTGTTAATCATCTTAAAAAGCTTTCATCAACACTTAAGGTTTCAAACTCTTTTTCCCAGTTATGAATGTTAAAGTATTTATTTAACTCTTTATATTTACCTTTGTTGAACAAATATTTTGTTTGATAGTCTCTGTTATTGTTAACTTTATCCATTAAACTATATTTAAAATTCAATACATAATGGCCATGTTCTAAATTACCAAGGAATGGTGTATTTTTTAACATTTCTTTTTCTTTCTTTACTTTCTTTTCTTTTTTTTTTAGTATAAATAATTAGTATAATTAATTATGTAAGAGATTTAATTTTTTTACTTAATGTAAAAGATTTCTATAGTCTTTTTATAAGAAACATTAAATGAAATTTGTGTCTATTATAAGTTCAATTATATGTATATTTTTTTTTGATAAAGAAATGTCGAAGAAATCAAAGCCAACTTATGAATTATCGAATTGATTTTTTCAACAAACTATAAAGGTTTTTTCAGGTCCATTAGTAGTTAAGTTTTTCTTAGTTAGGATTTGATTTATTTGGAATGCAACCTTAATTATACATGCATTTTTTTTTTAATATTTTTATATATCTCCTTTTAATTATATGATTTTATTTTTTCATTTCTCTAGTGTTACTATATTTGGATTCATTGCCAAATGAATTAGTGCTTTTAACTATTAACAGATGAACTCTTCAGGTATTTCTCCTTGTCAACAGTTTGTTTTATGATTATGTTAAATTTATGAAAGTTTATTTCAACACAAGCTAAGGTAGAAGTAGTTCTATTTACTGGTGACATAAGTTTTAAACAAAATAAGTTTATATCATATATCAAAATATATTCTGTTACTTCTTTGTTTATTGATAAAATATAATCTGTAATGGTTATAATTTTTTTTTGCACGAATCTATTTTTAACACAGTGCTCTCTGAAGGAAAACTCTTATAATGGAGGTGTTATACTGTTGCTATGCCAATATTATCTATATTATATTCATATTTTTATTGATATATAATGTTAAAGGGCTGTAGATTTTGGTAATGCATATCTTGATTCTAAAAGCCTGAGTAATTTTATTATAATTATTATTATTAATAATAGTATTGTTAAATAATATAAAAAAAAGACAAAGAGTATAGTTAAATGGTTAGTAAAACAAAAAACTATTAATTTAAAAAAAAAAATGTAATGTAACTTGCCTTTCTATCGGTAAATTCTTTTATTAGTTTATCAAAATCAATTTTTTTCAGCAATATCATTTTCGATGAACAAAGTTGCTAAGTTTGTCAACTTAGATTGAGATATAGTAGATCTTTTAAAAAATAGGTATAGTCAATAATATTTGCAATTTTATCAACACATATAGATATAGCTCTTGTAAGTTTCGATCTTCAATAAAATTTAAAACAAAAATAGGAGTAACCACATTCTTATTATAAAAATTAGCTTTCAGACTTTGGAGTTCATCGCACAGCATACTATAGTCTAAATCTGACTTAGATTCCACAGTAAATTTTAACTGGAGATTACCACAAAGTTCGACAAGGTCAGGTATTTCCAGAATCTATTTTATATTGTACAAAAATACCATGATTCTGAATACTTACTTAACTGATCAAATCTTTTATTGAATGACCCGAATGTAGAGTTCAAAAAACAGTTAAAAAGTTCGACTTCAAATTTTTTTTTTGGGAAGTTATAGGCTCATCACGGACTGTTTTTCCAGCTTGACGCTTAATACATCGAACTCTTGATGTGATTTTGAAAACAGGTTCGATATCTAGTTCTTCAGTCAATTCCTTTGCCTTTAAAAGAAATTAAAAGAAAGTGCAGTATTTTTTCAACATTTCTGTGCATTTACCGATAGCCATGTTTGTTGATTGTAGAGATTTACTTACTAACGACACTTGAAAAAGTTATACCAAACAACCAACTAAACTGAAAAGTTTAGTTGGTATATATATATATATATATATATATATATATATATATATATATATATATATATATAATATATATATATATATATATATATAGAGAGAGAGAGAGAGAGAGAGAGAGAGAGAGATGTATGTATGTATGTATATAATATGGCCCAAGCTCCAGCGTATTTTATATAACATGTTAATTTTTATAGGGGCTGTTGAATGCAACGAAATAAATAATGCCAAAGATACAAATGATTTTGGCGGTTAGCATCTTGATGCAAAATGCCCAAGTAACTTTTTATTGAATTAGAAATATAATACTTTTCATATTATAAATATAAATTAGTTTTTTCGTTCTCTGAAATTAAAACTTGAAATTTGGTTACTGTCTGGAAGTCTATACACTTTCAATCGGTATGTATACATTAGTATGTATACCTAGTCAGTAGCCTATCTATGTTGTGATTTATGTTATATTGCTATTATTGATATGTGAAAATTTATTTTTTTTTTTTTTTTTTTAGATAGTGCACACAGTTATTTATCACAGTTAATTATTGGTTAATAAAAAACGTTGGAATTTCACCCGATTCAATTTATTTGATGATTCAACTGGTTCAGAATAATTTATTTAAAAGAAATATATAATTTTATTTTATATTTACGTTTTACATATACTTTAGTTGCTTAATCCTATTTTCCCTTTTTTCCAATTTAAATAAGTGTGTTAAGATTTGCATCGGCTAGCCGAGCATTTGTAGCCTATTTTATTCATCGGGCCCAGCTCGGCTGCCGACATCGGACCGCCATTTTTTTTGCCCATACGGAATTGCATCGGGCCGAGATCAGCCAGCCGATGGTTTGATTGAAATCGCGTCGGCTCAACATCGTCCAGCCATGCATCGCGAAAAGTTTGAGCGGCCAGCCGATGTCAGGCCGACCTCGGTCCGTATGGACAAAACGCCGTCGGTCCGATATCGGCAGCCGAGCTCGGCCCGACATCAACTTTAACACAGGGAAAGACCTTCGTTGCATTTAGAAAAAAAAATTTAATAGCTTCAAAAGATGTACATGGTATTTTGAGATATTTAATTTACATTGTTTTTTTTATATTAGCTTTGAAATTTTGCTCTTGCTTTAAAGGATGATGACAGTTCCACTAAAACTCTAAACGATCAATAATTGATGTAAGAAAATTTCTTCTAAAAAATGAAGGATTTATGTCATGAGTATATTTCCTATCATGCATTTATATTATAAAATTTAATTTAACAAACATAATGTAACCCGTTTCCAAAAATTATCGAATGCCGTACTTTTTTTTAAACCAAACATAAGCAATAACATATCAGTGTTTATATTGCGTCTTAACTTTGTTAAGCAGAAAACTATTCAACTAATATGAATTCTTTTAACAAACTTTTATTAGTTCCGTTGCACAGAAAACACAGCAGCTTTTCTAATATTGGAAGACTAATACTTTTATCCATAGTGTATTTATCAGGCTTTATTTATCAAATTTTGATATCATAATATTTTTATTATTATTTCACATGAACTTGTTTAAACTTAGAGTTTTAACAATTTTTGAAAATTTCTGAAACATGTTGACTTTATTTTTAATTTTTTTTAACTTTTGTATCTCTTTTGTAATCCTTCCTTAATAAATGCTTCGATTTCTTAAAAAGAAAAATTTTATTTAATACTATTTCAGATTTAAATAATATGTTTTTAATTTATGTCTGAAAATTCCTTTTTTATATTGTCTGAGATTATCCCCATTAAAATGAGTATTTTTAAATTTTCCGTTTTTTTGCGAAATTTTTATGATACATGTTCATCACAAAAATTACTCATAAAACCATTTAAACCATAAAATCTTATTTGAGATGGTAAGTAAAGTATTAGTTCGGATTAACTTTGCAAAATCAACCTGCTTTAAAAAACCAAATCAGCTCTCTAAGTTTGAGCAAGCCGCCTCATATAATTACAATACTCTATGTATTTATATGTAGCACTTGTTAGTTTTTGGCATTTTTACCTGGGGCGGATCCAAACCATCTAGTAAAAAAGAAAGGGGCATTTTCTAGGAGTTTTTAATGCCATCAAAATTCAGACCATCTACTAACGGGTATATTGGGCAATTTCTCTGTTTCATGGTTTGTAAGCAAGTACGTTAAAGAATCATAAAACGTTTTTAGTTTAAATAATGTTATATGTTAGAGAAGATATACCCTGTAAGATACAAACAAAAAACTAATGATAATAGTAATTATGAATGCTTCTTTGTAGAAATAAATTTAAGAAACAGAAAATAGTTAATTGCCTGCTGCTATAATCCTAAAAACTAGTCAAACTCGTCAGTTCTTACAAATCTTGGAATAAATCTCTATTTCTTTTCAGGAAAATATGAATATTTTGATGATGAGATGAAAAATGAATTTATGGAAGAGTTTTGTATTATGTATATATTAAAATCTCTTATACAAGTACCTGCTTTAAAAATATGCATAGACCAAAAATAGTTGGCCTCATCTTAACAAATTTTAAACATAAAAACATAAGTGAGAAACTGGTTGATCTCGAAAATCGTTCACGAAGAAACAACCTAATGATTGAAGGTGTAAATGAATTACCTGGTGAAACCTGGAATGGCTGTGAAAAAATTGTGAAAGACATTTTTTCAAAAAAATTGAAAATACCGAACGAAATAATAGTTGAACGAGCTCATCGTTCAGGTCCAAAAAAAGTAGGCAATCACCGAACAATCTTCATAAAACTGTTAAATTACTACGCTAAAAAAAGAATTCTCTTTAACAGTAAAAATTTACGTGGAACTGGTATTTTTATCAACGAAGATTTTGCTAAAGAAACAATCGAAACGCGAAAAAGACTCTGGGGTGAAGTACTAAACTTACGTAAAGAAGGTAAGTATGCTATTTTAAAGTTCGATAAGATCTTTTGCAGAGAACTCAACAAATAAGTTTTTATCAAAAAAAAACCCTTCTATAGATACACTTGTTAAAAATGAGCGGCATTAATAATTTTGAAAACCAAATCTTTAATTTTTCTAAAATAGATTGCATCTTAAATGAATTCTCAGATCCCGACACTAACTATTATTGTGATTTGCTCAGTGATTGTTCATATTATTATCCAAGTGAATTAGCAGAGTTTCTTTTGAAGGATAATGTAAAAGCAAGCGATAAAATTAAAATTCTTCACGTAAATATTAGAAGCTTAAATCGCAATTTTGAAAATCTACTTAATTTATTAGAAGAAACTAAAAATATTTTTGATATACTTTGCTTAACAGAAACATAAATAACTATAAATGACCTAAAAAATAGTTCAAATTTTAACCTTCCTCATTTTAAATTAATATCTCAAGATAGGCAAACAAATAAACGCGGCGGTGGAATTTTTATTTACGTGAAAATAAACTTAATGCATTACGTTAGGAATGATTTGAGTGTTTCTGACGAGAATAAAGAAATTTTAACAATTGAAATTGTAAACAATCAAACAAAAAACATTTTATTAAGTTGCTGTTATCGACCACCTGATGGTCTGGGCAAAAATTTGAGCGTTTTTTTTGAACAAAACATATTCAAAAAAAAGCACAAAAGAAAAAAAAAAAGTTTTTGTTATTGGAGACTTCAATATGAATACTTTTTCTTATTATGAGGATTCTAAAGTTAAAAAGTTTTATGACGCAATATTTGAATTAGGAGCAGTTCCTTTAATTAATCGACCGACAAGAGTATCAATAAACACAACTACTCTTATCGATAATATGATCACAACCGATATCCTTAATAAAAACATACAAAAAGGTATCTTAAAAACTGATATTTCCGATCACTTCCCTATATTTTTAACATTTAACTGTAATTCCGAAACTATGATTAAGACAAGGAAAAAAATTAAACTGCGTCATATTAACAAGGACAATATTAATCATTTAAAAGAGCAACTATCATTGCTCCATTGGAAACATATAAACTTTAACGATGACGCAAACTCTATATATGATAATTTTTTCAACACATTATATCCTATCTGCGATGCAAATTTTCCATTCATAGAAAAGACAATAAATCCAAAAAAAAACATTCAATCCCTGGATTACCAAAGATTTTAAAAAATCATCGAAGATCAAGCAGAAACTGTATATAAAGTATTTAAAAACAAAGTCCCCAGAAAATGAAAAAATATACAAAGATTTTAAATATCAGTTTGAAAAGACTCGAAAAAATTTGAAAAAAAATTACTACTCTAGCTTAATCGATAAGTATAAAAATAACTCCAAACGTACATGGGAAATAATAAAAGAAATAAGCGGAAAACAAAAAGACTGCTCAGGTTTCCTTCCCCAGGTCATCAAGGTTGATAACAGAATCATCTACTAGGTTGGTTGAAAAGTTCGCGGAGCGGCACCTATGTTGCAGTAGTAGAAACAAATTTATAACTGTATTAAACGTATTCATTCTTCGTATGAACGCATAAAAAATTTCAAGTCGATATGTCATTTCAGTCTTTGTTTACAAGCTATTGAAATTAGACGTGTCATAGTATTTTTTAAAATGGAAAATATTGAACATCGTGCTGTAATAAAATTCTTTGTGAAAAAAGGTTTAAAGCCCATGGAAATTCATAATGAAATGGTAAATGTGTTGGGTGATGATGCTCCTTCAAAAACAACAGTATGCAAATGGGCTGCGAAGTTTCAACGTGGGCGTTCAAGCCTTGAAGATGACCCTCGCTCTGGACGTCCAAAAAGTGCTACTACTGAAGAAACGATTAATGCTGTGCATGACATGGTTATGGATGATAGACAATTGACCAAACGTGAAATTGCTGAGGCTGTGGGCATCTCAGATAAACGGGTATTACACATCTTGCACGATGAATTACGTCTGAGAAAGCTGTTGGCAAGATGGGTGCCGCATTCGCTAACTCTGGATCAGAAACGCACTCGAGTAAAACTTTCTCAAGAACATTTGGCCCGTTTTCAAAAGAATAAAACAGATTTTGTGCGTCGATTCGTAACCATGGATGAGACTTGGGTTTACCACTATGATCCGAAGCTGCGACAACAAACTGCAGAGTGGACAGAACCCGGTTGTTCAGCTCCGAAGCAAGTGAAGGCGTCAAAATCGTCAAAGAAGGTTATGGCATCAGTTTTTTGGGATGCGAAAGGAATTTTATTAATAGATTACCTTCAAACCGGTAAAACGATAACAGGTGAATATTATAAAAATCTTTTGGACCAGTTGGATAAAAAAATTCGTGAGAAAAGACCTGGTTTGCTGCATAAAAAAATCATTTATCACCAGGACAACGCACCTGCTCATATCAGCGATGTTGCAAAGGCGAAATTGGTCGAATTAAAGTACGAACGCTTGGAACATCCACCCTATTCACCAGATCTGGCTCCGTCCGACTTCCACCTCTTTCCACATCTCAAAAAATTTCTACGTGGAAAGCGTTTCTCATCACATGAAGAAGTCATTGCAGCCGTAAATGGGTATTTTGAAGGCCTTCCGGAATCGCACTTCAGAGATGGGATACATGAATTGGAGAATCGTTGGAAAAAGTGTATTGCTCTTAAGGGAGAATATACTGAAGAATAAAGTCATTTTTTGAATCATAAAA